TATATATATTTTAATTATTTGGTGTTCTGTGGTCTCAAAAAGTTTAAGAAAAACTGGTCTAGAGGGTGCTCAGTCCTGTTGTAAGGGCAGGATACTGGACTTGTTGACCTCCCGTGGTCCCTTCCAGTTCTAGTGTTCTATGATTCTATGACATCTACAGTGCAGTCACAGCCTAAAGGCCACTGCTAGCCACAAAAAAATGCATTCTTCTTCTTGTGGTATATATGTGGGCAAGAATTGGAACATATATGGACATCTCATCTTCAAAAAACTATAAATAAAGATTCCTGTTCCTCCTTTTTATCTTGTCCAACCTACCTTTTTTGGCCACTGAGTGCAATAAAATAATGTTTTTTTTTTTCCTTCCCAACATTTTTTTTTCCTCCACATTATTTCAAAACTTTTCTAATTGGTTTTTTTTTTTTTTTTTTTAAATATTGATAAATCCCATAAAAATAGTTCAGGGAAAAGTCTGTTTTTCTGTGGGTTAAGGATGTTAAATTACAATTAACCAAATAACTGCATAGTCAATACCATTTGTATTCTACTACATAATTAGTTGATAAGGACCATTCTGCAGAGCTGCAGCAGGGTAGCTTCAGAAGCTGGCTTGAGCCGGGACTCAGCAGTCCCAGCTCATGCAGGCTTCAGGAGCCACCTCTGCTGCAGTTCTGCATTTTAAATGTAGTTAAGTTGGAATAGAAAAGCCTTAATTTTTTTCCAGAGACTTTTTAACCATTAGTTGTCATATTTTGAAGGTTATCTTAACTGTTCTTAGTGGATGCTTTTTGTAAAACTTAATTTCACTCAGCTGAGGAACGTTTCTAAATGATATAGACAAAGGAATTTATATATCCTGCACTAACTAGAAGTGTGCTTTAATAAAATATTTTTAAATTAAATCGAGTAGATATGACTTGGAGTACAGGCCAAGAAAAAAATCTTCCTATCTTCAAAGTTCCTTTTTATCAAAATCAGCATTGGCATAATGAAGTCATTAAAGTACTGGGCATAAGGGTGTCAAGTGAAGAGTAATCAATTGTTTTATTTTTTTTTCCCATTCTCAATATTGGAGGGTTTGGGGTGGTTTTTTCTGTATTTACAACTTTAATTGCATTAATCTAGAGTTACTATGTTGCATAACAATTATAGTATCTGATTTTCAAATTAATGTGTTCTTTTTTTCTCTTGCATGCTGTGCCTTAATTACAACCATTTTCTGTTTAATAGCAAAGACATCCTCACCCTAAGAAACCAAAAAGCTTAAGAATTTACGAATCACACGTGGGAATTGCTTCACCAGAAGGGAAAGTTGCTTCTTATAAAAACTTTACCCACAATATACTACCTAAAATAAAGGATCTTGGTAAGTAACATGTTTCTTGGTGAGATGCTTGTGGAGATAATTTTTTAATGAGTCTGTGCTTTTATTAGATGAAATGATTGAATGTCTGTAGGTGTGTGGGGGGGAAGATGTGTGTGAAGTTTAAATGTATTGTAGAAATGCATTGATTTAAGGTAGTAAAATCCATGAAAAAGAGATGGACTAGAATAGGGTATATAGATCGAAGATATTCTATCTTAGTTTTAAGTAAAATTTCATTCCACACAACTAGATAAATAATTTAGTGTAACTTATTTTGTCTGAATACAAATGTGTAATAATGCCAGACACTAATTTGCAAATAATTGGTTTTTGGTTATTTGTAAAGTACCATCTACATTTTGTGTTTCTATATGCAGGGCCGGATTAAGGGGCAGGCTAGCCGGGCAGCTGCTTGGGGTGCCAACCTATGGAGGGCGCCTGATAGTGCTTGTAAGGGGTTCCATGCCAGAATGGGCGGGGGCAGGGCTGCGGGCTTGGCGGGGGCAGGGCTGCGGCCATGCATGTGCTTCCCGCCCGGGGAGCAAGAATGGCTTGGGCCGGCACTGTCTATATGTATACAGAAAGTTTAGTCTATTTCATAGAATTATGTGAAGTGCAATAATTTGTGAGTGGTAATTTGAATGCTCTGGTATTATGCAGCGATTAACATTAGCAGTTCTGTTTTAGGAAACAATTGTGTATATTATTATCGCTGTACAGAGTATAGATGACATTATTTAAATAGGGTTTTTTTAGGTAATTCATCTAGATTTAAAAAAAAATTGTGCCATAAGCATTGCACTTCGGCACGTAAAAGATTACATGAACACTTGCTAGCTATTATCATACAGCAGTGATATGCCTCCCTATATAGGGAACTGGAAATAACTATGGCAATCTTATTTAGTATTGATGATGAATATTGACATATTAATAGCAGCTAATAAGACTAGATATGAAGTCAAACATTAGATACACACAGCCTTCATCCATATATTAACCAAACCAGTCATAAATTATTTATAATGGTTTATATGCAAGTCAGTGTTTTGACAAAAAATGCCTTTTGTCATTCATTAAAATGAGCTGACAGAATTAGTGAATTTCTGTATTTGGAAACCCGTAACCAAAATCAGCCATAAATACAGGTTTAACATTTGATAGTGTGGTGGTGTTTTCTCTTGTGAACTAATCTGCTTTCCAGGAGGCTAGTGCTTTCAATGGCAATCAGAAAGCATGCAACCCAGGAGATTTCCTTAAGGAGAAGGATTGTTATGGATAATATGTAAAATGGTGTAAGACTTCAGAATAGCAGTGCCATAAATGTATGCACAATATCAGTCATTTACTGGTATGCCTGCTTTAAATTTTATCTACATGTGTTTGTAACCAGATCTACTTAAGAATTTGTTGTTAATAAATCTCTTAAGGAACACATTTTTGTCAGAATGCTGAAATATTAAAAGTGTGCAGAAATATATACATGGCAAGCAACAAAGTAAATAATAAGCAAATAGTGACAACCATTTGACACCGTCTATACTGTTTATTTACAAAACTGTGTGACTAACAATTCAACAGTCATCAATTGTAAAAAAACCCCCATAAATTAGACAAATTGGTAAGCTAATGCAATTCCATTTTTTAAAGTGGTAACTATTTGCATTTGAGGGCAAAAATAGCAGTGATATCCCAGATAAATTAAATAAACAGGATAAAGTTATGCTGAAGCATAGCCCAGATTATATGCTCAGGATTTGAGTTAAAACAACAACAAAAAAGAGAAACTGAAGTCTCAACAGACTTTTCAAATAGCCTTGAAGGTTATCGCTTGATGATTGATAGGGCATTTACTTGCTGACATTAGAGTTGGTAAAAAAAACTTTACTGCAGTTTTAGCATTAAATATTATTTTTCTCTTTTAGATTTTCTTCATTTAATATGCCAGTGAAACACTTTTTTGAATAAGGGACCAAAAAAAATTGGTTCTTATTTTCTTCAGTGAACTCAAAGCAGCATTATGCTGCTTTCATGCTTGTTCTTTTTGAAAGATTCCTTGAGGGAAATGAGTTTGGAAAGAAAATATGTAATGATTAAAGATAGAAATAAAATGTGTTTTGAAATATTAAGAAAAATCCTGGTAAAGCACAAGTAATAGCACTATGAATCAGTAACTCTTACTTTGCTTTCATGACAACACTGTAAATATCAAAAGTGCAGCTGAAGTTCAGGACATGCAGATTGTGTCGTTAATATTCTGAAGTCAAATTAAGATTATATTTGCATATCATTTATTGCTTGTTGAAACTGAGAGACTCAATATATCTATTCATATGTAGATCACTTGAGAAATTGACCTTCCCAGTTTTGATGGATAGGTCATACAAGTATAAAATGTTAAAGTGGCATTATTTTTGAGAGACTGAATCTGTGGTTCATTATTAATTGGACATTGGAGATTTAGAATCAGCTAAAATAAGAAAAGAGAAGCAATGTAGATATATCAGATATATTAGAAACGTTAATTATGCGTATCAAATTATTATTTAGGCCTATAACTTTCGGGGGGGGGTCTTTGTTTTGATAGGATACAATTGCGTTCAGCTGATGGCTGTTATGGAACATGCCTACTATGCCAGTTTTGGTTATCAAATCACAAGTTTTTTTGCAGCATCAAGGTAGGTTTTCTAAGAATTTGTGCACACTTCTTTTTTTTTTTCCAGTGGCTAGTGAAGCAATATTTAAATTAAGGCAAATAGTGCAATCCAGTTCACCTTCAGAATTCTAGCATCATATCCAGACTTTGCTTTGTATTGAACTTGTTTTTCCGCCTGATAAATCAGACAAGCTGTCTTTCATTATTAGCTGTTCTATAGGGAAATTCAATATAGAGTACAATGTATTAGAAAGATCATGATAAATATGAAATGGCAAAGCTCTTTGATCCCAGTTTCTTCACATTAGGACTTCAACTGCATGTTTTTATTCATAGACTCTGTTGCACAAAATTGAAAATTAGAGCAAATTATGTCCAACAAGTTATGTTGTGGTAAATAAAAGAATCTTTAAAGTACTTGTTCACGAGTATTGTCTAATTACAAAAAGGGTAGTCATGTAGTGAAATGACGAGTGTCATATTCTATAAGAATTAGTTTTCATACTCCTACCATGTATTTAAATGGTTTTGAGTCCCATTAGTTTGTAGAAATGTGTGATGGCTAAAGAAATAGGTCAGGAAAATGAAGGTACATTTGAATGTTACGTTTAAACTTCATCAAGAAGAAAAGTTGCAAACTGCAAAATTTAGGAAGCTTTTGTTAGCTTAATTAGCTGAACAAACTGCACATTATATATCGAGACAGTTTTTTATGATGGAAAAAAATAAAGAAATGAACTCTACTAACAACTGGACACCCTTCCCGGCTCTGTATTACAAACAGGAGGCTCCAGGGGAGAGGCAGCTCCAAGTCAAAGTGCAGATGTGCAGCAGTGCAGGGAGGGGCAGCTGAAGTGCTGGCACTTGCTAGCCACTTGGCAACCCGGTCAGGATCACCGATCAGAGGCTCCAAGATCTACCAGTAGATTCCAATTTACTGGTTGAAGACTACTGTTTTATATAAACAGACAAGGTGGAGATCACTCCCGCCCCCTGCACCGAGGCTATGAAGCTGTGCAATTGGTGTGTCTGGCAGAATATTCACTTCTTAGACTCCTACCTATCTGGCTCCCTGAACACAAAAGCAGACCAACTCAGTAGATGATTCCCCACAGACTATGAGTGGGAACTGAGCAACAACATGCTTCAGGCCATATTCAGCCAATGGGGTTACTTGACCTCTTTGCCATGACCAGGAACAAGAAATACATGATACTTTGTTCCAGATCTGGTCTAGGTGAGCACTCAGAGGGTAATGCCCTTCTCCTCCATTGGCGCCCATATTGGGCCACACCTTTCTGCCCACTCTGCTGTTATGCAAGGTGGTACACCAAACTGGCTCAACAGGGTAAAAGAAATCTTAATAGCCCCAGAATGACTCAGTCAAAACTGTTACCCTTACCTCCTTCATATGTCCATTTGTCACCTCATCACACTACCTGCTGTCAACAACCTGCTCACGCAATGGCAGGGTCAAATACATCTGCCAGACCTCCAGATTCTTCAGCTCAAGGCATGGTTCCTGGTTGACTCTTGGACACTGAATTAGCATGTTCATCACAAGGCCAGAATGTCCTGTTTCCTAGCAGAAAACCATTTACCTGTATGACTTGCACACACAAATGAAACATGTTTAATGCCTGGTGCACTGCAAAACAAATAGATCCCAGAACAGCACCACTTCCCCTCATCCTGGACAAGCTGGCCTTTCCTTCCACTCCATCAGGGTATATGTAGTGACTGTCATGGCATTCCATGTCAAAACCGATACCTGTCTCATAGAGCTGGAAGGGACCTTGAGAGGTCAAGTCCAGTCCCCTGCTCTCATAGCAGGACCAAGTACCATCCCTGACATATTTGCCCCAGGTCCCTAAATGACCCTTTCAAGGGATTGAACTCAACCCTGGGTTTAGCAGGCCAATGCTCAAACCACCGAGCTATCCCTGTGTTTCCTCACCCTGTTACCAAACACTTTTTAAAGGGCATTACCATACTCTGTCTCAATCTCTCACCCCCTACACCTCCCTGGACCCTGAATCTAGTCCTCACCCCAAGGTTCTCCCTAATGGTTACATTTTTTCACATTAACCAACCTGGACATGTACCATTATTCTTGACATATACCAGTCCATTACAAACCACTTTCCCAAACCAGTGCGTTACCCAAACATTCTTGAGTATGGTGGTACTCTCAGCACCTGTTCTGCTAACTCTAAATTCCCTCCCACCCTAAGGGACACTGCTACTAAGTCACTTGGGGCACTCATGGCATGGAGGAAGAAGTGAAGGTTACTCACCTGTGCAGCAACTGAGGTTCTTTGAGATGAGTGTTCCCATGGGTGGTCAATTCCCTCCCCCCATCCCCATCATTTGGTGTTCAGCAGCTCTTTAAATGGACAGAGGGAGTGCAAGAGGAGCCCGGTGTGTACCCATGCACGTGGCCCAGAGGGACACTGCTGCAAAAATCTCCGTGCGAAGGTACAAGGACACACCAGTGTCCGGAGTGGAGCACGCACAGAGAAGCTTACCTCAAAGAACCTCAATTACTGCATAGAGGAGTAACCTTTATATCCCCCTACAAGGGAGTTCCTTAAAAGCTATGTTTTGTATCTAATTCTATGGATGTATACTTTTCTGCATAAGTAATGTTCATCCTTTAAAAGAAACAATGGGAATACCTCTGCCTAATGAATTGCATTGTAATGCTTGCAGCCGTTATGGAACCCCAGATGATCTGAAGGAATTGATTGATGTTGCCCACTCAATGGGAATTACTGTTCTGCTGGATGTCGTACACAGTCATGCATCAAATAACTCTGAAGATGGTCTGAACAAATTTGATGGTACAGATTCCTGCTTTTTCCATTCTGGTTCTAGAGGAACTCACAGTCTTTGGGACAGCAGACTTTTTGACTATTCAAAGTATGTACAAAATTATTTTAACAATTTTCAATGGTAATTTTTTTCTTGGTTACTAATTGAACTTTTGCCTTCTTAGAATAGTTCAATATTATAACTATATCAGATGCAACAGTTTGCATATACAAAATTTAATGTGTCTACAGTCTGAGGACTTGTTTACATGGGCATTGACACAGAAGCTAGTGCATAACAGCTATGTTGTGAATTGATAGTACAATAGTTATTTCTCACTATCTCCTAACTTTTTGAAATTGTATTCACCTAAACTACACAAAGGTGTTCTTGCTGTGGAATGAGTTTCCACCCACATAGCTAGTGGAACTCTATGGCTATGTCTACACTGGTGGGTTCTTCCTCAAGAATGGCCGTTCTTGCGCAAAAAAACTTGCCACCTGTCTACACAAGTAAATCTACAGTATAGCATCAGAAAACAGGGCTTCTTGCGTGAGTGCTCTGATGCTTCCTTTCAGGAAGAAGTCTTCTTGCGCAAGTGTAGACAGGCAGCCAAGAGCTTTTACACAAGAACTGGCCTCACAGGAAAAAAGCCAAGAGGCTGCTTGGACGCTCCATACTCACACTCACAGCTTATTACTTCCTGGTTACCGGACTTCCCCCTTAAAGCCACACACAGCCTGCAGATGTCGTGTGGCAGCAGCACAGCCAGAAGCTCCAACTCACAGCTCTGCCCTGCTGCACCAGTGAGCCCCCCCAGAGGAGATGTCTGCTCCAGAGGGACACTCCTGAGAGCCAGCACCCTCCTCCCAGCAGCCACTCCAAGGCTCCCAGGAGGCCCAGAGGGGCATCAAGATGCGCACCCCTTACTGGTCCCAGGCATAGGTGGAGGCCCTTCTGGACCTGTGGGCCAATGAGGGAAGCCATCCACAACCCCCGTGCCCGTCGCCGGAATGCAGACATTTTTAGCTGCATGACTCAGGCGCTCTCCTAGCAGGGACATCTGGCCTGGACCCTTGAACAGGTCTAGCCTAAGGTGAAGGAGCTGCACCTGAGCTATGTCCAGGCCACCAAGGCCCAGGGGGCAGGAGATGACACCTGTCCCCACACCATCCTCGGTGAGACAGCAGTCTCAGGACCCTTGGTGCCAGTGGACACCAGCCTGTGCCCCCCAATGACCAGGCCACATGACACGGAGGAGGAGGGTGACCTGCCAACAAGGTCTGAATCAAGGATGAGGGAGACGACCGCAGCAGCACCGTCACCCTGCACATGGACCCAGTGCTGAGCAGCCAGGATGTCTTCTGGGCTTAATCTGAGGCCGGTGAAGAATCTTCTGGTGAGTGGTGTGCTTCTCACTTGCAAGGGTGGGGGGAGTTGGGTGCCTGGGGGTGGGGGGATGTGTCACACAGGCAGTTGAGCTGTACTCTCCATAACAGTACGCAGGACGTGCAACCTCGTGCAGCCTGACTCTGTGGTATGTGGACGCGGCAGGCAGCTCCAGGGCATGCCTGGGACCCTGCTGCTTGCACACATCCTGACTGGGGGGTAGGAGAGTGCCAGCTGGAAACAGCCAAGGCCCCAAGAGCTCAGGCCAGACCCCACACCTCCCGAAGGGTGCTGCACACAGACAGCACGCAGCCATGCATGGCAGTGCGACACAGCAGGTGCTCCCGGGGAAACTTCATTGCGCCAGCCCTGCGAGCATGGCCCCTCAGAGCCCCTTGCCTGCTCCTGGCCCCTATGCTGCCCCTGATGGAAGCCCCTCACTGCGGCCACGCACTTCCCTGGGCTACTTATCTGAGGGCTAGTGGGAGGGGGAGCGGGAAAGCGATCGGCCTGGCCCTATGGCCACTTGAGTTTTGCTGCAAGGACGGTACACTCCCCAGTCACTCTGTCTCTGTCTCCGAGGACATCAATTCACAGGGGTCCGAGAGCCCAGACCTCGTCTGCCATACTTGCTGCCATGCAATGTGGGGATTTATCTAGCTCCTCTTTAAACTCTGTTAATAGTCCTAAGCCTTCATAGCCTCCCTTGGCAAGGAGTTCCACAGGTCAACACAACACATGCTAAGTGGCCAGGACACAGACAAAGGGTCTTCAGTCACAGTGATGTCTTCCAAGGGGTTCAAGTGAAAGGACGGTACACTCCCCAGTCACTCTGTCTCTGTCTCCGAGGACATCAATTCACAGGGGTCCGAGAGCCCAGACCTCGTCTGCCATACTTGCTGCCATGCAATGTGGGGATTTATCTAGCTCCTCTTTAAACTCTGTTAATAGTCCTAAGCCTTCATAGCCTCCCTTGGCAAGGAGTTCCACAGGTCAACACAACACATGCTAAGTGGCCAGGACACAGACAAAGGGTCTTCAGTCACAGTGATGTCTTCCAAGGGGTTCAAGTGATCCATGGAGGATCACTTTACTCCAGGGAGAGTCCTGTATGCAAACATACATACAGGGGACAGAGTGGGCCCAAGCACAATAGTGTGGTGTCACCTGGGCTCAGTGCGGAGGGCACGGGGTGCAAGGACGGTGTGTGTAGAGTAGCCTGATTGCCCCATCATTATCTCTATTCTCTGCAGCAGGACCATCCAAGAGCAAGGGACCCTTCAGCCCTGCGGTGGTGTCAGCACCTCCAACCTCCCAGTCCAGCAGGCCAGGCAGTGGGACCAGCTACTATGGCAGCACGTCCAGGCCATCGAGAGAATTGAGGCGGTGATCGCCAGCAAAATCGACGCTGACCTGGAGTGGCGGCAGCGGGCATGTGGGCAGTTTTTGCAACAGTATGACTGCATGTGCAATGTCATTACCACCCTGACAAAATTTAATGTGTCTACAGTCTGAGGACTTGTTTACATGGGCATTGACACAGAAGCTAGTGCATAACAGCTATGTTGTGAATTGATAGTACAATAGTTATTTCTCACTATCTCCTAACTTTTTGAAATTGTATTCACCTAAACTACACAAAGGTGTTCTTGCTGTGGAATGAGTTTCCACCCACATAGCTAGTGGAACTCTATGGCTATGTCTACACTGGTGGGTTCTTCCTCAAGAATGGCCGTTCTTGCGCAAAAAAACTTGCCACCTGTCTACACAAGTAAATCTACAGTATAGCATCAGAAAACAGGGCTTCTTGCGTGAGTGCTCTGATGCTTCCTTTCAGGAAGAAGTCTTCTTGCGCAAGTGTAGACAGGCAGCCAAGAGCTTTTACACAAGAACTGGCCTCACAGGAAAAAAGCCAAGAGGCTGCTTGGACGCTCCATACTCACACTCACAGCTTATTACTTCCTGGTTACCGGACTTCCCCCTTAAAGCCACACACAGCCTGCAGATGTCGTGTGGCAGCAGCACAGCCAGAAGCTCCAACTCACAGCTCTGCCCTGCTGCACCAGTGAGCCCCCCCAGAGGAGATGTCTGCTCCAGAGGGACACTCCTGAGAGCCAGCACCCTCCTCCCAGCAGCCACTCCAAGGCTCCCAGGAGGCCCAGAGGGGCATCAAGATGCGCACCCCTTACTGGTCCCAGGCATAGGTGGAGGCCCTTCTGGACCTGTGGGCCAATGAGGGAAGCCATCCACAACCCCCGTGCCCGTCGCCGGAATGCAGACATTTTTAGCTGCATGACTCAGGCGCTCTCCTAGCAGGGACATCTGGCCTGGACCCTTGAACAGGTCTAGCCTAAGGTGAAGGAGCTGCACCTGAGCTATGTCCAGGCCACCAAGGCCCAGGGGGCAGGAGATGACACCTGTCCCCACACCATCCTCGGTGAGACAGCAGTCTCAGGACCCTTGGTGCCAGTGGACACCAGCCTGTGCCCCCCAATGACCAGGCCACATGACACGGAGGAGGAGGGTGACCTGCCAACAAGGTCTGAATCAAGGATGAGGGAGACGACCGCAGCAGCACCGTCACCCTGCACATGGACCCAGTGCTGAGCAGCCAGGATGTCTTCTGGGCTTAATCTGAGGCCGGTGAAGAATCTTCTGGTGAGTGGTGTGCTTCTCACTTGCAAGGGTGGGGGGAGTTGGGTGCCTGGGGGTGGGGGGATGTGTCACACAGGCAGTTGAGCTGTACTCTCCATAACAGTACGCAGGACGTGCAACCTCGTGCAGCCTGACTCTGTGGTATGTGGACGCGGCAGGCAGCTCCAGGGCATGCCTGGGACCCTGCTGCTTGCACACATCCTGACTGGGGGGTAGGAGAGTGCCAGCTGGAAACAGCCAAGGCCCCAAGAGCTCAGGCCAGACCCCACACCTCCCGAAGGGTGCTGCACACAGACAGCACGCAGCCATGCATGGCAGTGCGACACAGCAGGTGCTCCCGGGGAAACTTCATTGCGCCAGCCCTGCGAGCATGGCCCCTCAGAGCCCCTTGCCTGCTCCTGGCCCCTATGCTGCCCCTGATGGAAGCCCCTCACTGCGGCCACGCACTTCCCTGGGCTACTTATCTGAGGGCTAGTGGGAGGGGGAGCGGGAAAGCGATCGGCCTGGCCCTATGGCCACTTGAGTTTTGCTGCAAGGACGGTACACTCCCCAGTCACTCTGTCTCTGTCTCCGAGGACATCAATTCACAGGGGTCCGAGAGCCCAGACCTCGTCTGCCATACTTGCTGCCATGCAATGTGGGGATTTATCTAGCTCCTCTTTAAACTCTGTTAATAGTCCTAAGCCTTCATAGCCTCCCTTGGCAAGGAGTTCCACAGGTCAACACAACACATGCTAAGTGGCCAGGACACAGACAAAGGGTCTTCAGTCACAGTGATGTCTTCCAAGGGGTTCAAGTGATCCATGGAGGATCACTTTACTCCAGGGAGAGTCCTGTATGCAAACATACATACAGGGGACAGAGTGGGCCCAAGCACAATAGTGTGGTGTCACCTGGGCTCAGTGCGGAGGGCACGGGGTGCAAGGACGGTGTGTGTAGAGTAGCCTGATTGCCCCATCATTATCTCTATTCTCTGCAGCAGGACCATCCAAGAGCAAGGGACCCTTCAGCCCTGCGGTGGTGTCAGCACCTCCAACCTCCCAGTCCAGCAGGCCAGGCAGTGG